GACTAAACGACTGAACACACACACACACCTCTCCAGGAGGAGACAAGGCTGAAATGGGAAGGCAGCTCACAAAGGGGACTAAAGGGAGATGAAAAAAGGGAGGATGATGCCTGGGGAGGAAGAGGAAGGAGGGCGAGAAAGAGAACTAATGGGTGGAGTTGGGGGGGAGAAGACATTGCAAGAGAGGAAGAAACTTCAGCTGGAGGAGAAGCCCAACTGCCAGATGAGCATCTCGGGAGAAATGGGAAATGGAGAGGGAGTCCCTTGGCCTCAGGAGAGGTTCCCCCTCCAAAAAGGGGCCATCACCTCTTTTCCCTTCTCATCTCTTCCCCCCCTTTCCTTGCTATGGGAGTCCTTTCAGCGAATCCCCTGACGACCTGCATCAAGACCCAGAGGGAGGACCACGGTGGGGCTTTGCAGCAGGGATGAAATTTCAGGTGGAGGGTCCTTCATTTTAGTGGGGGGGATTAGGGGGGACAAGGCATTTTGTTATTACTCCTCTCCCCCCTCCCCCCCAATTCCTGATCCCATGGATTCTATGCCTCCACCCATCATCTCCTCTCCTGCACAGAGGAAGAATTCTGGAGAGCTCCATAGCTGGCAGGTCGGAGGCGGAGGGCGGTCAGTCTGGGAGGCTTTTCCTTTCCCGATCCTGGACTCGGAAGAAAATCCTGACTTTGGCCTTCGGGGTGGCCAGGCCTTCATGGTGGTGGAGGGAGCAGGAGGGGGGAGCCCGGTCCCTGGAAGCCCTAGAGCAGTGATGGCTAACCTTTTTGAGCCTGAGTGCCCAAATGGTGACACAAAACCAAATTATTTCTTTTGAAGTGCCAACACTGCAATTAAATCTGAATACAGATGATTTAGTTTAGAAAAAACAACTCATACAGTTGTCTGAATTAATCATCACCTTTTGTCTTCAAAACATAACAGAATTTTCAATGATACAAACACTTTTTATTGAAAAATAACCATTAACTCTAGTAAATGGAAACAAATATTAAAGTAATACAAGCCAGGTAATTTATACAAACTTTAAAAATAATTATATGCATGTATTTTTTTTTGATAAGGGATACTCAACTTGGCATGCTTTTGCACAATGTGATTTTTATGTTGTATGCATGCTGATAATTTGTCAAACCTTGACCCACAGGCTGTTAGTTTGAGAGCAACACATGCAGCAGCCAAACAACCCAGATAGTGTGGTTCCTGAACTTGAGCCAGACATTCTGGAGAGTGAAGTCAAGTGGGCCTTAGAAAGCCTGGCTAACAACAAGGCCAATGGAGGTGATGGCATTCGAGTGGAATTATTTAAAATCTTAAAAGATGACGCTGTTAAGGTGCTACACTCCATATGCCAGCAAGTTGGGAAAACTCAGCAGTGGCCAGAGGACTGGAAAAGATCAGTCTACATCCCAATCCCAAAGAAGGGCAGTGCCAAAGAATGCTCCAACTACTGTGCAAATTGCACTCATTTCACACGCTAGCAAGGTTATGCTCAAAATCACACAAGGCAGGCTTCAGCAGTATGTGGACCGAGAACTCTCAGAAGTGCAAGCTGGATTTCGAAGGGGCAGAGGAACTCGAGACCAAATTGCTAACATGCGCTGGATTATGGAGAAAGCCAGAGAGTTCCAGAAAAA